GTTCTATAATATTTTAGTATAAAGTCAAAGGCGGTATTTGCATCCGTTATAGGCTCTTCTTTTGTAGCGGCGGAAATCGTTACGTAACTCAAAGCTACTTCCTGAGCAACTTAAAACTACTTAAGACGCCATCGATTTCTTAGGATTTCGTGATTGTTACACATAGGAAATGAAACTATTTTTCCGGATTTAAATGGCGTAAATTTGTTTTTTCAAACAAATTGGTTTGTTTGAAGAAACAAATATACGCGATTATGCGAAATATATTCATTTCCTATACTTAAGTCGATGTTATAGAACTTAAAGTCTCAACGTAGGCTTCAGTTTCCACTAATATATTGGTTGGAGCGTTACTAATTAATGTCCGTTCGCACAAACCGCTTTAGCTTTATATCCGTCAACAAATAAGTGATTAAAATGCAAACACTTGCAATTATGACATCAGTAGCTCGCTACGTACATACGTATCTATCAACTATAACAATGTACTTACGCTATTGAATTTACGTTGTGTGTTTAGAAAGTGGCTAATTAGCGGGCGTTGTGTTTGTCATTGTATCAGTAGCACGGGTCATCGCAGACCTAATTAACGTTTAGTTAATGGCACTACATTTTACATTTCGGGCATGTGAAGTGGCATGAAACAATCATCGAGTTGATCACTATTCAATAGTTCATCAGAAATTCACATATAAACTTATTTTCGTCTCTATGAAGTGAGACGTAACTTTAATTTGTTATTTTGTAACAGTCGTCGCATTGCCAGAATAAAGAAAGGATTTTCTTAATGACAATGAAAATTATTTTCATATATTAAATGCCATTGTGCTGAACCAGACAATATAAAAGTCGCACAAAGCTAATAACTGTATTGGATCTCAGCGGAAAAATATTTGCTGAGGGATAGATTGACTAAAAATCCATAGAAAATTTTAATTTAAAATAAATGGCATTCAGCGAATTGTCGTGTTGTGCACCATGACTTTCCGGACCTTGGTTACTTTTAGAATCATTATATATTTTTCAGGATTACTAAATTTAAACGTTCATTTCCATAGTTCCATTACATGTATGAATGAGGTAATATTATTATATTCTCGACACAAAACGAATTCTCGGCGCTGTCTTTACGTTTCAACGTCTTAAACAAATTTGTTATTCAAATGTTTCAGAAGCATATTGTTACTTGATTTAAATACTTCCAGAGCATGTTGTCAACTTCACTTAATGACCGTAAGCTCCAATAAGCACTGATGTTGTGTTTACCGCAAAAGCCCGACACGAACATTTCATTTGCGTAAGCTATAAAATGTCACAGAAATTAGAGGTCGAGGCTTATTCACGATCGTCTGGTTGCTACTATCGATTTTCTTGGAAGTAATACTTCTCTTCAACAAGTATTATCTTATGCTTTATTTAATTTAAACTTATATCTGACACTCACCGGGCCCATTCTATTAGTAAGACGAATTTTGTGAATAGTGTATACAGGACTCATTTTATGCAATTACAGTTATACACTTCAGCCTGAATCACAATTCGCACGAATTATTCCATCACACCTTCCCGGACTGTTCACCACACCGAGCTCTTCAACGCAAACAGAGTCATTAGGACTTGTCAACAAATAGTAGATCGGTATCAAAGTAATTGTTAGAGGTTGGGTCACGAAGAGTTAGTACGAAGTCCAATTATAAGAATTTAGTTAACATGAGTAATAGTTACGTGGAAACGATGAGACTCTAATTAATGAAACTATCAATGTCACAGTTACCGAACTATTACTTAAAAAGCGACTACTTAAAAAACGAGTTGCAGCTTCCACAGACGGACAGGGAATGAGCGACAAGTCCAAAATTAATAGTTAGTCTGTGCGTGTTCAAGGCAGCCCCCATCGAAACAATAGGCCATGAGGAGCGCGCAAGAACAGACTTCCCGATGTCAACGTTTATGACGCCTTCGCCATGGCTTCCGCTGTAAATAGTGATTGCCTGACCAACTTCGCTGTAGTAATACGGTTAATTGCCCCCTTTAAAAGATAATAAATTGGCACGGTACATCAATTCGTAGAACCTTTTGTACGTTAACTTATTTTGTTATTTTAGTACCAATGCCCTTAAAGAATCATTACAATATTTTCATGATTCTGTAAATAAAAGTATTAAAACATTTATCTATTTCAGTTACGTTTTTTCTTGTTACTATATTGGTAATTAATTATTGTTTATGGAAGGAAGCGTAGATGACGTGTAGTGGTATTCAAAGAAGTTTAAAGTTATGTTTTTTGCTTGGGAACCTCACATCTTCCAGGTATTATATACATGATGTGTTAGCAGCTCCAACACCGATCTCATGATCGGTAAGGTTCTTTCAAGCATCAAAAAGTGCGTTCCATTCATGGTTTCCCTTTATCAGATTACTAGGCCGATTTGTTTCATTTTATTTTTTGAGGGTCTGCCTTTCTGCTATATAAAATCTTTAAGCCTCTTTAAAATATCAAAGTATGTGTTCCATTTATCAGATTACTATCACGATCTGTGATAATTTCTGAGGGAACTTTTTCGAATAACTAGATTCACATATTTAGTGCCTGTGGAGAATTATCTGATGACGTTGGCAAGATTACCATGCCAGGTGAATTATCTTCAGGCAAATTTGTAGACGAGATTTATTCTAGAATTCCCGTTTCGTGAATTTATTTGTTGGGGTATTTGTAGATTTTTTGCTACCAAATTTATCTATATATCGGCAACTAAGATTTAAAATAATTAAAAGTAACAAAGACGTATTTTCTAATTATTTTGCTTTATTTCATATTTGTTATTCGTAGGACTCGGTCTTATTATGTTTCTGTTCACCTTAAATTGGTAAGGTCTACAAAGTATTTAGAAGTTAAACAACTTGTGAAAAATCTGATGACGTTGGCAACATTACCGTGACAGGTGAATTATCTTCAGGCAATTTTATATACGCAAGCATTGCTGTTTCATAAATTCTGTGTTCTAAGAACTTGGAATAATTAAAAGTAAGCACCACGTTATTTCTAATTATTTTGAGGGAGCGTGTAGGACTCGGCCATGATAGGTTTCCGTTCAACTTATTTTTGAGGTCTGCAAAATGTTAACAAGGAACATTGAATAATCCGTAATGTCTTAAAATAGCGCTATTTTGAAAAATAAGTATTACGTATCTTTACTACTATTCTCTAGACTAAGTTAATTTTCACGAAAATTTCAAAGTGTATTCATTATTTGTTGTTTAATTTATTGCAGTAGTTCGGAACAAACAAATATGCAGTAAAAATCTTTGGAGCATACAACGCATAGTCTCAAGCCCACATTTATTGTTGAATTTTTAGTGGCTTTTATCTATTGATATCACTGAACGGGGTGCATGAACATTATGTTCGTTATTCGTTGGGCTTTTCCTAGAAAGATATTGGTTTTAGTTTTTTTTCTCGCTAACAAGTGTATGAGCAAGCGAGTAAAAGAACTGTGACGTAGAGCCAGGCAGACTCACATGCAGATAGGCAGACGTCGTGACAGATAGTTATGTCGAAAATACACACTTCAAAAAGTGTCTAGGTATCAAGCATGTTATTATTGTTTGCAAATTACTGAGAATCTGGTTTTTATTGAATTTTTTTAACACCAATGGATTTGTTTTGGTCAATTTCAATTTTAATTCATATTTTAATATAATGGACCAAAAAAATTCTCGATGTTAAAAAAATAACAATTAAAAAAACTAATTTTCAGTGATTTGCAAAAACTTGCTCGATCCTTAGACATTTTTGATGTGTGTGCCTAGTTTGACTGCGGCGCCGCAATTATTGTGCGATTCGATTAGGCACAGATATGTCATGCCTTTGAAGTCATTGCGAGGCTACGAATGAACGAAAATCAATGATACATACGAGTATTTGTTTCACGCTTAGCCTAGAGTTCACCGTATCAATTCCAGTAAAAAATCAACATGCGACATGACTTGCGGTAGTTGGTCAGTCATAAAGAGCGTTGTGTTCTTTTGTCTTCCTTTGCATTTAATTTACTCGTTGCATCTGGAACGTACGGAGAACGTGCATAATATATACTTAAAATCGTTTTTAAATTTTCTTTTGATTTCTGTGGTTTTGATATATAAGTTATGTAGCATCTGTTACTTATTGACAACAATCCTCTATAATTGCGTAACGTGCATCTATCACTTCTATCTATCTAAAAGTAGGTCTATTTTCATATCTATTTTTAGGTAGGTATCGTGAATCTGAAATGGTATTTTATGTAATCGTTGCATAAAGCAGGTAAAGCCTCGCGGCCTATTATGTAATAATTGCATACAATATTTTTTCTACGAGTAAATATAATAATTAAACAGATACAATATTTAATGCATATTTTGTTAACAATCCATTGCAACAAACGCAATTTTTTGTAATAAATTTTAACGCATTTATTAGAGTAGGCAAACATTCACGAAATTTAGACGAAAGCCAAACAAACAAATGTTACAAAATATAAAATCAAAAAGATAAAATAGGACTGGCCAAGTAGGTACCGCATATTTTTTACCGATCTTTTTTATAAAGATTTATGGCCCGATTGCAAGACTTTTAGGTCAATTTTACCAATCAGGAGGAAAATAAGACTTTCTTTTTTTTAAAATCCTTAAAGTACTCTAATGAAATTTTTCAGTTCAGTGGCCATAGACGATAGAATTTTGATTCAGACCTAAAAAAAGCGCCTTTATGATATGGTTTACGAAATTATAATAGACAGATTAAAGTACGGTAGTAGAAAAATGTTTTTACGTTTTACTTTTTCGAAACGGTCTTTGGTTTTGACAGCACGGAGCACCAGCTGATTACAGCACATGTAATGTGATATAATAATATTCAGTAAAGCTTTGTTTGTACCAGGGTTTGAACCCATGTATAGGTATTTTCTACTAATAATAAGATAGATAATAATATAATAGAAGATAAAATTAAATAAATTTACTGCTTCTTCGTAGGGTTCAACCCCGTCCTCGATCTGTTTTGCAGCGTTAAGTCTTGAGCGGTTATTGAATCCAGGCGAAGATTTATGCGTCTTGGAGATGGAATGTTTCTGATTTATCCTCGGGTCTTGCAGCCCGGAAGGTCCAGGGATCGGCTCAGTATTGCTTGACACAGTAAATACTTTGCCATCTCGGTCTCTACAAAACAAGAAAATCAAATTCCAGTAATTATTTGTATAGTAGGTACTCGCCGTTTCCTAAAATTCCGAGCTCGTCGTATTGTTAACTCGACATAGCTAAACACATTAGTTTATGCTAAGTTATTCATTCAAATATGTGTTGTCGAGTGTCATGTAATGGATAGACCTTTCACACAGGGGATTTCCGAGCGTGTGTCCATAGAGATAAGTATATGTATTGGCACGAGGGCGCATAGAGGGTGAGTTCAGTTACGCGTAGCTAGAGGCCTTGATGATTTCACTATTTGTTGCTATTTGATTTTAAGTCGATGATATTATAAAAAAGTATAACTTAACCCGTTTGCTTAACTGCCATATTGACTGAATGGTTATCACGCTGGACTGCGACGTAGAGATCCCGGGTTCGATTCCCGGGCCGGGAGAAATATTTAATAAAAATGGAAGTACTTTAATTTGCTACCCCGTGAACCCAGTGACGGTTAAATCGTGCAAAATAGCTGCGCTTGAGTTGAATTTTTTTTTCATGCAGTTAATTTTGATATATATGGTATGCAGCAAGTAGTTAATTTTACCACTCTCTCTCCGCATAAAAATACTTAAATAACACAAGCGCAACTACAATCACAAACACCACCACCAAATATACCCAACACGTGGGTTGCATCCTCAGGAGCTGTCGATTGCTCGATGCTCGGCCAAAAAATATCTGCATGAAAAAATATTCAACACAAGCGCAGCTATTTCGCACGAGTTAACCGTCACTGGCTTCGCGGAGTACCAAATTAATTTACTTCCATTTTTATTAACATGGACTTCCATGAAGTAACGCCTGAATATATTAATTACTGGGAGAAAAATTTATTAAATATTTATTAGTTGTCTATGTGTGTGTTTCCAAAGTGTGGTGCTATGAGTGTGTGTGTGATCTCTGGACACACGCTTACAAGTCGTCGGTAGGAAAGGGGTGTGAAAGGGCCGTCAACCGGATCTGGGTATGTAGGTCGCATCGAGAGTCTTCATGCAATTGGAAAACTGCACTTAAGTGTGACGATGTAGTATATATTCAGAAGGTTTAAAATAATAGAAGAGGCATAACGCTGTTTTTTAAGAATAGTGGCTCAAATCAAAATATTTCATATTAATTTTTTAATAGAGCTGCGTTCGGAAGTGCCAAAATATTAGTATAAAAAAAAAACACCGAGCATTTTATTGGTTAAAATAAACAAGTGAGAACATGGACCGGTGTATGATTCGTCAGTTTTTGACTTAAGACGTGCTTCAGTTGTTTTTATTAAAACTTTTTAATCAGCTACCCCTTGCAATACTAGTTATAAATCTAAAAACTTAAAGATGCGACTCGCATTTGTTTATATTTTTTTCGATAATGAATTGAGATTTGACTTCACTATCGTAATCTGTTAAAACGGCCATCATAGCCTGCCGGTACTGTAGTAATTTATGTTGTTTTGTTTATAAGTATTCTATTACTGGAACCTACTTTCATAGCATGTGTGACGGAAATGAAGTCCTATTGAAAATTGTAATAATTTTATTTCAAGCAAGACCATAAATACAATAAAAGCTGATAAACTAAAGTTAGGGATCTCTTATACAGCATATCAGTTTTCTAAATATAATTTTGTGTACGGAATGGGCACTGGGGGTCTTCGAGCCAACGGTTTCGAATCCGAAGGGTGCCGACGGGTGAATAAATTGCTAGAGTGAGCAAAAAAAGCCATGTTACTGCGTCGTTAACATGGCTTTTCATTCTTTCTGCCAGTTCAATTAGACGTACGATGTTGAGTGCTGCTTGCCGCGAGATAGTCAGAGCCCAGCTGGCAGGAAAGATCTGGTTCCACGTTGTAGTATATTTTGCTGCGATGCGATGCGAGGAACAAACTGATAAACCAAAGCGAAGGCTTGATTGCTATATGAATGTTTTACTCAGATATGACCGATTAAATGCACCATTGAATTATAGGCCCTCAGTCGCTGCGCCTTAATATCTCAGGTATAATTGTTTACGTCTCAAGGTTATTTATTTAAATTTTTTCTATCATTTCTTTCATCCTTGCAAATCTTATCCCTTTTTGTATTTATTACTTTTTTATTAGTGATGGCATTGACAGCCCTTTTTAGGTGTGAAACCCCTAACTCTGTTCTATATATGGGGCGTCCAGAAAGAGCTCAATAAGGAAAATGGGAAAGTGGCGGCTTTACTGGGAACAGTAAAGGATATCCTTTGTTATAATCTTCGTACTCGTACCTAGTTGGTAATTCTCAATATTTTTTAGTCTGGAAGACGCCTTGATAACATGGCCACAAAATTGAACATAATTTTTTAACCAACATTAAGTTAATACAAGTTAAGTTTTATTTAACGTAGTTTATCGTTTAATATTTATGAACGATACTGGCACATAGCTTTTAAAATCACCTTTATTATATGTCTTTTAGCTTTTAAAATAACCTTAACATAACACCGTCTCTAGATCGATTTAGTACTTAAGATATTTTTTAAAATAAATACTGATATGGGTATTAAAAAAATAAAACTATTACTTTGTCTGTCTTTTTAGTCACGCATCACGCAAAACCTACCGAAATGCCTCATTGTAGCATGACAGACTTCCCTTAAGTTACGTAATTCGTAATAAAGTCCCCAAGGAGCACACTTTATAAGCCTTAAAACTGTTATATCTATAAACAGTCTTCATATGGTATAGATTTAGATAATAGGTCTCTATAAATGGTTTTAGAAAAAGAAATTGTTCTTATAGACTTATTTCACTCAAGTCCAAATTTTAACACCTTCTTAATACCAAACAACTTAATTAAGTGTAATCTCTCTTAAGATTTACTCTTATAGTCCTTATTTTAAGTTCGTCTGTAGAACAACTGATTATATTTAGCAAAATTGTTCTATACACATCCAGTAAAGCCTATTAATACTCTAAAAACTAGTGTTCTTAAGTTTATTCTAGATATATTTAATTTATAGACATTCTGTAGTGTTTGTACTTATTGACAAACACGTTATAGCGCGTCTTTAATAAATTTTAATTAAAAAAATACTACAATTAGGGTTTTTACTCTATTGGACGTTGTAAGAGTTCATGCAAAATGGATAAAGTAAAGAATATTAAAAGATCTGGTGGAGGTGGTAAACCTTGGATATTAAGTCACATCATTCGATACAATCAGCGTTGCCAATGCCAATTGTTCAAAATCCCCAAAAATCACTATATAATAACAATAATAATAACGTACACTCAACATAGCCCCGCACTAGGGAAACCCTGTGTCGCGGGTGCCATGAACACACACGTGACAAGACAACCACAAATTACATCCAAACTCACGAGAGAAATGAATGTAGGCCATACAAATGTTTCTCCCGACCCGGGAATTGAACCTGGGACCTCTGCATGGCAGTCCGGCATGGTAACCGTTCGGCCACGGAGGCCGTTATATTAATTATAATATTAATTAGATTCAACATTAATCTGTAATCAGTCTGAACAAAAAATCATTTTTCTTTGCCTTACAAAATTAAGTAAATTGATTATTTGTTGTGCATTTGGTGACACTATGTTAACGTTAGAAATAATCAATGAGTTTCAAACCTATATTTAATATTTAAAGTTGACGAGTGGTAAGTTGTTGGAAGTACTAACTGCTCGGCTTTGTTTTTCAATAGCTGATTTCGTTTTGCTTCATACCAGGGACCGTTCTAAGCGGGAGAAAGAATCGCGAACTCAACATGCTCCGACTGGTAATTTTACAATTCAGAACCAAGTGGTCTAATAATCATTCTATTTAAGCTGCTTGTTAATTATACGAGGGATGTGCGATGTTGAATAACACGTCGATATAGTCCATCACAGTGTTTCTAACAGTAACGATCAAACTAGCGATGCATCAGCAATTGATAGATTAAACAAAATGATAAAATGTTAGAATCATTTTCCTCACATAGCGCCAATCCCCACAAAATTCCCAGTCTAGTTGAAACTCCCCACAATTTGGGAAATTCCCTACAAATTGGCAACGCCGGATGCAATAGTCGTAATTCGTGCTCGGGCCGGTCATGGCCGGCATTTGTTTGTTGACAAATAAATAAACATTGTGAAGTAATTCCGTGTTGTGAAATGATAAAAACAATTGAAATAAGCGCGTAAACTACTGTACTTCAATGTTGTGTATGTGTATTGTGCCGTCTATCAATAGAATACAGTGAAATCATTGTGTGAATGCGGTTGGCGTGAAGAAATAACCTCAATTTTGTAATGAAAATTTTATTTCTTCCAACATAAGTTAGATATGTCATTAAAATATTCCTTATATTTATATGATAGGATATTAAAATTTATCCACCTTTCTAGTCATATTATAACACATTCCATATAATTATACAGAATAACGTTTTTTTGAGACAAATTAGATTTTTTCAATTGTTTTTTTAACCTAGTGTTTTGAAAAGTTTTTTATTTTGTTGGTAGGTCAATGCATAAAACGCTCACTTTTTCGTATAACCTTATAAAGGTTTTGTAATACTGTCAAATGAAAAAATCGCTTAGAAACATCGCGTTTTGTAGACAATCATAAAAATCTCATAGGAGGAATATTCTTCGACAAGTTCAACTACACTAAAGCAAGTAAAAATAATCTTTTCGTATTCTAAAGTTTTTCTATAGATAAAGCTATAGACAAAATGCTCCCAACTGTGTTTTGAAAAAAGCTTTTAATTCTTATCGCCATTTTTATTTTTAAACAATGACTATGAAGTAGACGAGAAAATTTTCTTTTCTTTTTAAAAAGTAAATCTAAGTTGAAATTAGCTTGAAGAAGCCTACTTCTTGGAAATGGTTTGTTTTGTGAGTTATTTTGTATATTTAAAACCGAAAATCGATAACTGTATTTTTATTAAGATTATATTTTATACATAAATATTTAAAATTTAGCGAGCGCATTACTTTTATGACAGGTTTTACATCA